CTAAACCCTAAACCCTAAACGCTAAACCCTGGTAGTGAGGGTGCACCCCTGCTGAGGAGTTCTTGACCACACTTCTCTGCAGCTCGCTTGTGGCTCGGCGCAACGCCTCTAAGCAAGTACTGCAGCAGCAACAACAGCAGCAGCAGCAGCAGCAGCAGCAGCAGCAGCAGTCTGTGTTTTGCTTTGTAGGGCTTGGGTGGAGGAGGTGTGGGAGAGGGGGAGGCAGCAAGTGCTGCAGCAGGCGCAGCAGCAAGAAGCAAAAGTGGATCTGTCTCTTTTTGTCGAGCCTACGAGCAGCAGCAGCAGCAGTGCAAAGAACACCGCGCAGCAGCAGCAGTAGCAGCAGCAGCAGCAGCAGTGGCAGCAGTTTCAGCACTTGGCTAGCTGCATGGGCAGTGAGCTAGCTAGCTAGCTAGCCTTTTGAACGGCCAGCTGGCCAGTTTGCTAGCTAGCTAGCTAGGCAGCTAGCTAGCTGGCTAGCTACGGAGCTAGCTAGTTAGCTAGCTAGGGAGCTAGCTGAGAGGGGCCCGGCGGTGCCTTTAGGAAGAAGCGCCGGTGCTGCAGCTGCTGCGCAGCAGCAGAAGAAGCGCCGGTGCTGCAGCTGCTGCGCAGCAGCAGCAGCAACAGCAGGCCCTGCTGCTGCTGCTGCTGCTGCTGCTGCTGAATTTTAAGTAGCAGCCCGCCAGTGTAGCTGGGGCTGCTTACGCAGTTCGATATTTTGGCAGTGATTTTAAAAACAGCTTTTAATACTTTAATGTTTAAGGGCAGCAGCAGCAGCAGCAACAGCAGCAGCAGCAGCAGCAGCAGCAGCACGGCTCAGCAGCAGCTGAGGTGTGGAGGCAGCAGCAGCCGCTGCCCCCACAGCAGTAGCAGCAGCGCTGCATAGGCAGCAGCAGCTGCTGCCCACAAAACACTTGCTGCAGCAGGAGCAGCTGCTGCTGCAGTTCCTGCCTACACAGCAGCAGCAGCCGCTTCTGCAGCAGTAGCAGCAGCAGCAGCAGCTTCTGCCTACACAGCAGTAGCAGCAGCAGCTTCTGCAGCAGCAGCAGCAGCAGCTTCTGCCTACACAGCAGTAGCAGCAGCAGCTTCTGCAGCAGTAGCAGCAGCAGCTTCTGCCTGCACAACACTAGCAGCAGCAGCTCCTGCCCACAGAGCAGCAGCAACAGCAGCTTCTGCCCACACAGCAGCAGCAACAGCAGCAGCAGCTCAGCTAGCTGTAGCTAGCTAGCTGTAGCTAGCTACGGCTAGCTACAGCTAGCTGCAGTTACTTATGGCCAGCCTTACTGGCTGGTGATCAAACGCGAAGAGCGTGTAGCTGCAGCAGCTGCTGCAGCAGCTGCAGCAGCTGCAGCAGCTGCAGCAGCAGCAGCAGCTTCAGCAACGGCAACGGCTGCAGCAGCAGCTGCAGCAGCAGCTGCAGCAGCAACTCGAGTGGCGGCGCTGCTGGTATTGGAAGCTGCTACCGTTACAGCTGCTAAACTTTGAGCAGATGCTGCTGTTGCTGCTACTCCAGCTACTGCTGCTGCTGCTGCTGCTGTTGCTGCTGCTGCTGCTGCTGCTGTTGCTGCTGCTGCTGCTTGGTTGGCTGTAGCAGCTAGTGCTGACCGCTGCTCTTGCTGCTGCTGATGCTCTTTCTCCTGCAGCCACTGTTGCTGCTGCTGCTGCTGCTGCGGCTCAGGATGCCCGGGCAGCAACTGCTGCTGCTGCTACTGCTGCTGCTGCTGCTACTGCTGCTGCTGCTGCTAACCAGTCCTATGCAGCAGCAGTTGGTGCTGCGCTGCTCTAAACCCTTAAACTGTAGGCCTAGTTCCTTTGTTCAGTTTACAGTTCAGGATTTGGGACTGAAGGGCTAGGGTTTAGGGTTTAGGGTTTAGGGTTTAGGGTTTAGGGTTTAGGGTTTATGGTCACGATCACCAGCCCTGCTGCTGCTGCTGCTAACCAGTCCTATGCAGCAGCAGTTGGTGCTGCGCTGCTCTAAACCCTTAAACTGTAGGCCTAGTTCCTTTGTTCAGTTTACAGTTCAGGATTTGGGACTGAAGGGCTAGGGTTTAGGGTTTAGGGTTTAGGGTTTAGGGTTTAGGGTTTAGGGTTTATGGTCACGATCACCAGCCCCAACTGTGCAGCCGACCCCACGGGGGCCCCCCAGCCATACCCACGGCGCGCTAGTTGTCGGAGGGTTTAGGGTTTAGGGTTTAAAATTTAGGGTTTACGGTTAATAGTCTAGGGTTTAGGGCCTAGGGTTTAGGGTTTAGGGTTTAGGGCCAAGGGTTTGAAAGTCGAGGCCTGGCGTATGGGTTTTTTCGAGGGACAGTGTGTCGGGTTTAGGGTTTATTGTTTGAAATTTCAGGCCTAGGGTTTAGGGTTTAGGGTTTAGGGTTTAGGGTTTAGGGTTGGCGATAATTGAGCTCCTTAGGAGCAGCTTCCCAGGAGACTCTGCGGCTGCTCCAGCGGCTGCTGCAGCTGCCAGCGCGCAAAACCCTGCAGCAGCAGCAGCAGCAGC